GGAACCTCTCACTGGCATGGGCTCCTTCTGTGTTCGAAAGGACGGTGCTCGCCCTCCTCCGTGCCTCTGGGTCCCCGAGGTGCTGTGCTGTGCCAGCGGGGGGACACCCCTCCCGTGAGCCTGGCACGGTGACCTCCCCAATGTGCGGAGTACGCCCTGTCCTACTGGTGGCTGTTTCTGTTCTTTTTAATTTCTTTATTAAGGTGTTACCCATGTGTCCTTATTCCCCCATTACCCCCACCCCATCCTCTTCACTCATGCCCCCCCCCCCCCCATTTGTCTGTGTCCATTGGTTAGCTGGTGACTGTTTCTTTAAAGCAGGAACTTAGGCCCTAACTGGTGTTGCTCAGTGGTTAGAGCGTCAGCCTGTGGACTGAAGGGTCCCAGATTCGATTCTGGTCGAGGGCATTACCTTGGTTGCGGGCACATCCCAATAGGAGGTGTGCAGGCAGCACCTGATCAATGTTTCTAACTCTCTCTCTCTCTCTCTCTCTCTCTCTCTCCCTTCCTCTCTGTAAAAAAAAAAAAAAAAAAAAAAATCAATGAAATATATTTTAAAAAAATGAAATATATTTAAAAAACAAAACAAAACCCCAGCAGGAACTCATTTCAAGAAGAATCCCTGGAGGGCACCTTGAAGTCTTTGCTCGGGGTCGGGGTGCTCTCCCGGCCGCGTTTTAAATGAATTAATGCCTCGGCTCTCCCAGTGGAGGGCGCAGGGCGGAGCCCCCTGCACGGTCAGGGTCCGGCTACAATCCCAGGGGGAGGACAGACACTGTTCCCGCAGTAGGAAGCGGGTCCCCCAACCCTTCTGGCTCAGTTGCTAGAGCCACAGCCTGTGGATTGAAGGGTCCCGGGTTCGATTCTGGTCAAGGGCATGTACCTAGGTGGCAGGCTCTGGATCCTGGTCCAGGGCATGGGGAAGGCAACCCATTGATATGTCTCTCTCATTTCAGTATTTCTCTCAGTCTCTCCCTCTCCTTTCCACTTTCTCTAAAAATCAATGTGGAAAAAAAAAACAAAACACCAAAACATTGACTGACCCAGAATTGAACTGGAAACGTTTTGGTTCACAGGATGACACCCAACCAACTGAGCCACACCAGCCAGGACTGGACTTTTTTTTTTTTTTTTTTTTAATATATTTTATTGATTTTAGGAAGGAAGGGAGAGGGAGAAAGGGATAGAAAAATCCATGATGAGAGAGAATCTTGATTGGCTGCCTCTTGCATGCCCCCCACTGGGGATCAAGCCCGAAACCCAGGCATGTGCCCTTGGCCGGAATCAAACCAGGGACCTTTCAGTCCACAAATAAATGCTTTAGCCACTGAGTCAAACAAGCTAGGGCTAGACTTTTTTTTTTTTTTTATAATATATTTTATTGATTTTTTTACAGAGAGGAAGGGAGAGGGATAGAGAGTTAGAAACATCGACCAGCTGCCTCCTGCACACCCCGCACTGGGGATGAGTCCGCAATCAAGGTACATGCCCTTGACCGGAATTGAACCAGGGAGCCCTCAGTCCGCAGGCTGACGCTCTACCCATGAGCCAAACTGGTTTTGGCAGACTTTTTTTTTTTTTTTTTTTTTTTTAATAGCTGAATCTTTACTTCACTCCTTATACCAAAATAAATTCCAGATGGAGCAGAAATTTAATCGTGAAGTATGAAACTATAAAATCTCTAAAAATTGGAAAAATCGTTTATTATCCTGGAGCCAGGAGGGCCTCTGGGCCAGCACAACGGGGGGGGGGGGGGTTGCCACTGACATAAAAGAACGGCTCTGAGGACGTCCTCACTCTCACAAGTCAACCACCACAGACGATCTGCAAAAGGCGCCCCCCTTCACACCCACCACTACAAACTAAACTAGAAATCACGGTCAAACACAAAACGTCAGGCCACAGGACACAGCCCTCTTCCCGACAACCTTAGCACAACTAGGACGACCCGCGCCCCAAGGTCTTCCCGCTTGCGCTGCTGCACGGGGCGGGGGGCCTGTCCGCCCGGCTCCCTCGCAGGGACCGCCCCAGCCGCCGGAGCTGGCCCCCAGGGGAGTCCGCACCACGGACCTCGGCGAACGAAGCATCGCTTGATTTACGGTTCTGTTTACAGACACGCGTCTCCAGGGCAGGACCCAGGGGGCTCATCGCACGAGAACTTGGCTCTCAGCCCCCACCGGCTGCCAGGCCGCTAACCCTGCGGCGAGCGCCATGCGTCTCTGGGTGAGGATCCCCTGCAAACCGTCCTTTCAGGGCCAGGAAATGGATTTTAATTTATATGTATATGTATTTTCTTCAAATACATTTATTTCTGTAGACTTTTAAAAAATATATTTTATTGATTTAAAAAATATATATTTTATTGATTTTTCACAGAGAGGAAGGGAAAGGGATAGAGAGCTAGAAACATTGATGAGAGGGAATTATTGATCAGCTGCCTCCTGCACACCCCCCACTGGGGATGTGCCCGCAACCAAGGTACATGCCCTTGACCGGAATCGAACCCGGGACCTTTCAGTCCGCAGGCCGACGCTCTATCCACTGAGCCACACCGGCTTCGGCTAGTGCATGAATTTTCATGCAACGGGCCGCTAGTATATATGATTCCCAGTCAGAGCACACGCGCCAGTTGGGGGCTCAGTCTCCAGTCGGAGGCATGCAGGAGGTAGTCTATCCATGATTCTCTCTCAGCATGTATGTTTTTATTTCTTCCTCTTCCTTACTCTCTGACATCAATGAGAATATATAAAAAAAATATTAAAAAGACAAAAAACACCCAGATGGAAGCACGGGAAAGCAGGGGAAAGGAGAAAAGGCAGAGGGTGAGGCATTGGGGATGTGGTAAGAACCTAATCCAGGAGGAGTGGGGGAGAACCGTGCAAACACACATGACTGTAATTAGCACAAGGAAATCACTTAGGAACTTCCAGCCAAACTGCTGAAAACAGAAGTTTTGAAAGCATCCAGAGACCCTAACCGGTTTGGCTCAGTGGATAGAACATCGGCCTGTGGACGCAAGGGTCCCAGGTTTGATTCCGGTCAAGGGCTTATACCCTGATTGCGGGCAGGAGGCAGCTGATCCATGTTTCTCTCTCATTGATGTTTCTAACTCTCCCTTCCTCTCTGTAAAAAAAAAAAAAAAATCAATAAAGTACTTAAAAAAAAAGCATCCAGAGAAAAAAAGGTACATTTTCTTCAAAGTGCAATAAAAATGATGCAATGAAGTAATGGAAGCAAGAGGGTCTTTAAAGTGCCCAAGACATTGACCGCCAGCCTCCAGCTCTGTCCGAGGCCACCCCCACCCTCCCCTCCAGCTGCCCACCTGCTCTCACCAGCACCCTCCTCTCCCAAGGCATCCGGGAGCTTGACCACGCCACCCTCGGGGGGATGCTGGTCCAGCCCCCCACACCCTCTCTGATCGTCCCCATCTCGATGGCACCTCTTGGCACTGCGGGCTTCTGTGGCCCCCAGCCCCTTCCAACCTCCCCTCCCCTCCAGCGTGGTTCTCTGCTCCCTAAAACTTGCTGCCTGCACTGCTACAGGGCCACCCAGTGAGGTGCTCTCCTTGATTTCCTTATTTATTTACTTACTTATTCAATATGTTTTCGCTGATTTCAGAGAGAGGGAGGGAGAGATAGAAGCATCAATGATGACAATCACCAATCGGCTGCCTCTTGCACATCCCCTACTGGGGATGGAGCCTGCAACTCTGGCAGGTGCCATTGGCCGAGAATCGAGCCATGATCTCCTGGTTCATGGGTTTAACCACTGAGCCACACCAGCCAGGCCTCCATCGTCTAGAATGTTCTTGTGTGTTGCCTTGAGGGTCAGCTCAGCATGTTATCTGAAAATCTCCTTGTCCTATGATGGGGATTCAATCGACTTTATGGCTGAATCGTGGAGAGTTCCTGTCTTTACAACTCGGCCAGTTTTCTGATTTAGTTTCAGCTCCCGTCAGCTCCTATAGTTAAGACTCAAAAATTTTTAAAAAAATGCAATCTCGCACATTTCTCTCTTTTTCCCCCCTAAATATATTTTATTGATTTTACACAGAGAGGAATTGAGAGGGACAGAGAGTTAGAAACGTCGATGAGAGAGAAACACCGACCAGCTGCCTCTTGCACACCCCCTACTTGGGATGTGCCTGCAACCAAGGTACATGCCCTTGACGGGAATCGAACCCGGGACCCTTCAGTCCGCAGGCCGACGCTCTATTCATGGAGCCAAAGTGGTTTCTGCTGCACATTTCTTTTTAGGGTTATTTCCAGAACCGTCAAGGGTGATGGGACCACTGAGAATGGTGAGCGTGGGTGGGGGGACACGAAATGTAACTGTCACGGGTAACCGCAGGTGGCGGGAGTCCTGTGGGGACCGACGACAGGGACCGGGTCGCACGGGGGTGCAGGGACGCCACAGGAACAGCTCCCAGAGCCGGGAGAGGCGCGCGCCCGCCGGCCAGCCCAGATGCTCTGCTTCCCCAAGCCCGTCCGGGCCCCGCCCACCACTTTGGTCCCGCCCCTGACCCCGCCCCACCGCTCCCGGTCCAATCCCGGGCCGCGCTCACCACCAACGGCTCGCCCACCGTTTCAAGCCCCGCCCACCACTCTGGCCCCGCCCCGAACCCCGCCTCCAGACCCCCGTCCAGTCACAGGCCGCGCTCACACCCAGGCCCCGCCCCTCCTTCCGAAGCCGTCGCGCGGCGCGAGGCCTGCTGGTTCGCTGTGTTTGGACAGTGGCCGCACTGGGGTTCCGAGGTCGCGGGTTCGAGTCGTCGTGTGTCCGTCGCGGGCCCAGAGCCTGTCTCCGTCCGTCAGGCGCGGCCGTTGCTGACGGCGCGACGAATCTGCCGCTGCGAATCGGCGGGCGCGGCGGCGGAAGAAGCCTCGCGAGAGTCTGGGCGCGGGCGCAGCGGCGGCGGGGCGGGCGGAGCGGCGGACCGGGCGGCGGGAGCGGCGGGCCAGGCGGCCGGAGCGGCGGGCCGGGCCCGCGGAGCCGCCGGCATGACGGGCCGCGTGTGCCGCGGCTGCGGCGGCACGGACATCGAGCTGGATGCGGCGCGCGGCGACGCCGTGTGCACCGGCTGCGGCTCGGTGCTCGAGGACAACATCATCGTGTCCGAGGTGCAGTTCGTGGAGAACAGCGGCGGCGGCTCGTCGGCCGTGGGCCAGTTCGTGTCGCTGGACGGTAGGTCCGGGCCGGGGCTGGGGCCGGGGCGGGGGGAGCCGCGAGTTCTGCGGCCGGATCTGGGGGTCGTAACGGAACTTCCAGCCCGGGGGGCGGGGCGACGTGCGGCGGCTGCGGGCTGGGGGCAGCGGCACGTCCGCCCCGAGACCGCCGCGCGGCCACGCTGTGGTGCCCGGGACGGGGCAGGAGGTTCGTCCCCTCGGGGAGGCGTCGGTTCCCGGCCGGTGCCCCGAGACTCGCCCAGCAGGGGGCGCTGCCAGCGCTAGGTCCGGCCACAGTCCCCTCAGGTCTGGCCGCCGCTGGTCGCAGAAAGCGCAGCCCGGCGCCCTCCCGTTTGGGGGCTGCGAACGGGGTGCGGACAGCCCGTGGGGGGCTCCTGTGGGGCCGGCGCTCCCCCTCCCGCGGCGGTTCCCAGGGACGGGGCCGCGGGACAGCGAGCTGCTCGGCTACGTTCCCACGGACTGACCGAGCGCCGGCGAGCCGTGGCCCCGCCCCGGGTGCTCCGTGTGTGGGGGCGCGCACGTGATGTTCCGCAGCCCCCCACCCTGTCTGTCCGGCCCGGCTCGCTCTGTGTATTCTTGTTGGTTTTGTTGCTGTTGAGCTTTTGAACGGTCTTCACATAGTCTACTTTCAAGGTCGGCAAACTGCGGCTCGCGAGCCACATGCGGCATTTTGGCCCCTTGAGTGTGGCTCTTCCACAAAATACCACGGCCTGGTTGAGTCTATTTTGAAGAAGTGGCGTTCGAAAAAGTTTACGTTTAAAAAATTTGGCTCTCCAAAGGAATCTTTTTAAAAAATCTATATTTTATTGATTTTTTTTTTTTTTTTAATAGAGAGGAAAAGAGAGGGATAGAGAGTTAGAGACATCAATCAGTTACCTCCTGCACATCCCTTACCCGGAACCAAGGTACTTGCCCTTGACCGGAATCGAACCGGGAACCTTTCAGTCCGCAGACCAACACTCTATCCACTGAGCCAAACCGGTTTCAGCTCTCCAAAGTGATTTCAATTGTACTGTTGGTATTTGGCTCTGTTAACAGATGAGTTTGCAGACCTTGGCAGTAGACTATGTAATGACCTTTTTTTTTTTTTTTTAAATCCCTTGTTGACTATGTGATTTGCAAAGCAGAATGTTAACATTCTGACTAAAAGTTTAAACTTTCTTCTTTGTTGATTTGAGAGAGAAGCCTGGGTCAGCTGCCTTGATTGGCTGCTGCAGCCCCTACACCGGGGATGGAGCCTGCAACCCCGGCAGGGAGTCAGCCGGCGACCTCTGGATTCATAACCGCTGAGCCACCCCGGCCTGCCCAAGCGTTGGACGTTTTTCTGCAGTCTGTTTTTTTCTGTCCCGGATCGGACATTTCTGCACGGGTCGCTGTGTTTTTCTTCCCACACGTGCCTGCTGGTTCCGCATTGAGACCTGGGGCGCTTCTGTTTCCTTCCTGGCGGTGTGGGGTGGGTGAGGCTCCTTCTCGCAGGGTGCCCGGAGCCAGGGCCCTGTGCTGCAGGACTCCTTCCTGGGCCTGCCCTGGGTTTGTTCCACTTATTTATGCATCCATCGGTGGATTTTTTTTTTTAATTTATTTTTTTACATATTTTATTGATTTTTTTTACCCCCCTCCCTCCCTCCCACACATCCCCTCCCTCCCCAGAGTTTTATGTCCATTGTTTGTACTTATATGCATGTATACAAGTCCTTCGGTTGATCTGTTATCTCCCCCAGATCTTCCTCCCCTCCCCACTGTAATTTGAGTCTGCCTGTTGCTTTACTTTCTCTATCTCTGTCTCTTGGTTCATCAGTTTATAAAGAGCTTTATCGTCCCATCGGTGGATTCTTGTATGTGCCCTGACCAGGGATCGAACCCTAAACCTCGGCGTTTTGGGACAGTGCTCTTTATTTGTAAAGTTGAGGACCTTCTGATTTGCTGAGAGTTTATCATGAGTGGGTGTTGAATTTTGTCAGATAATTTTTCTGTTTTTCTGTTATCAACTGATATAGTCATGGTTGTAAATGCACATGGTCACGGGGTATCATTCTGTGTATGAGTTGCTGGATAGATTGGCTAATATTTAATTAAGTCTTTTAATTAAGTACACTTAATTAAGTCTTATTGATTTTCAGAGAGAGAAACATCAACGATGAGAGAGAAACATCACTGATTGGCTGCCTCCTGCACACCCCCCACTGGGGATCGTGTCTGCAACCTGGGCACGGGCCCTCCGGGAGGGAGAATGAACCCTGGCCTCCTGAGCCTCAGGGCGGGGCTAGATTTGCCGACTCTGTTGAGGGGACATCGCTCTGTAGGCCTGTGGCTCTGGTGGTGAGCAGTGCAGGGGGTGCGCTGGGGCGGTGCCCGCTCTGGCCGGAGGAGGCGGTGGCATTGGGTGCTTTTGCTGGGCTGTGGGGTGGGAGGCTCCTGTCCGGCTTCCAGCTGCAGAGTCCGTTTCTCCGCGGTGGTCCCAGCTGAGGGCGGGTGGTCGCCACTGCCGGGGGGTAGGGGTGGGGTGGGGTGGGGTGGGGTGGGGTGGGGTGGGGGTCTGGCCCCCTGGTCTGAGTCTTCGCAGGTGGAGCTGCCGGCACTGTTCCCCCCCCACCCCCGGGTCTCACTGGGTCGCTTCCCTGGCACTGGGGTCTGGTGCTCTCTCTCCTGCCGTCTCTGCTTTAGGAGTCTATTCGCTTCGCTCTCTCTCAGAACGGGCTGTGGGCGTCACTGGTTTTTCTCCTCGGCTTCGTGCCGGGCCGTCCGTGTGCCGGGCACTCCGTGTGCTGGGCCCTCCGTGTGCTTCCCCGGGGTCCCCTCTTCCTGGAAGCCTGCCGTGGTTTCCACAGCCACGGGGTCCCCAAGGCCTAGCAGCGTCCCGGGTGTGATCGTGAAGCCCACAGGCTGAGGGTGATGCCCCCCCTCTGCCCTGCCCCCCGGCATGTGCCCACCCATGGGGGCTCCTGGCCCAGCTGGCGGGTGGCTGCGTCGGAGCAGGGCCTGGGCCCTGAGCTGGAAGGTTCTGCCTGGCCGGCCTGTGGCCCCGCCGAGCTCCCGGCTGAGGGCTGTCAGCGGGGCCGCGTCCCCCACAGCCGCACTCAGGCCCCCTCGGAGCTCGCTCCGTGGGCAGCCGGGCTCCGTGGGCAGCCGGGCTCCGTGAGGAGGGCCGGCTGGGGCCACCGTGGGGCGCTCACTGCTCACCTCCGCCTGTCGTCTGTCCGTGTCCGTGCACTGCGGGCCCCTGGGTGCCTCCCGCCCTCACAGTCAGTCGGGGTGCAAGAGAAGCAGGGGTGCTGAGCGGGGCTCTCTGGGTGCTCAGGCCCTGCCTCTCTCGTTCTTGGGGGTGGGGGGTGGGGGTGTGCGGCTGTGGGCCCAGCGCTGGGAGCCCAGAGGAGATGCCGTCCCTACCCTGTTGTCCACAAGGGGGCGCCGAGCCCCGGCCTGGGCCTGTGCCCTCCAGCTGTTGGAGCTGCTGTAGGAATGACTGTGAAGTGCGGGCAGGGAGAGGGCATCTATCTGAGCCTCTGAGGGCGAGAGGCCCAGCGTGTTCTCCAGTCGTATCTGTTGTAACCAATCGGGGCGCTGCTTGTTGAGTAATCGATACAGGTTGGTTCCGCAGGCAGGTGTTCGTCCCCCCCCCAGCTGCCACAGACCTTACTCGTGAGGGGGAGGCAGGGAGAGCCGGTTCTCCTGGGGGCCGGTGATGCACTGAGGCCATGCAGAGAGCACTGTGTGCACACCTGTATGCGTGTGTGCAGGCCTGTATGCACGTCTGTATGTGCCTGTGTGTGTGTGTGTGTGCGCGCGTGCGTGCATGTGCTCATGTGTGCGTGTGCAGGAGGAGCAGGACTTAGGAGCCAGAGCAGCCCAGAAAGGGGACGGGCAGGGGGCCCAGAAGCAGGAAGCAGGCCCCGCAGGGTGGAGGCTTAGGGAGAGGGGTGGGGAGGTAGGGAGAGGGGTGGGGAAGTAGGGAGGGGGCGGAGGGTGAGGGAGGGGGTGGGAGATAAGGCTAGCACAGGTGGCATTTGGTCAGAAGCTAGGGCGTCCCTCTCTGGGCCTTGGGTGTGGGGTGGAGCCAGGTTGGGAGCTGCAGACGGAGGAGCTGAGCTTGGGAGATGGCACTGAACATAACGCTGAGCCCGTCTCCCCCCGCCCCCCAGACACACACACACACACACACACACACACACACACACACACTGGTGCGGCGTCTCAGCCTGAGCCTGTGGGCAGGGAGGTGGCCGGCGGAAGGCCATGGCTGTGGGGGTGGGGCTGAGGGTTGTGCCGTTCCCGTTCTTTCAGACGCAGTGTTGTCCTCACTGGTCCAAAGCAATGCCCCTGAGTTAGAGGAGGGGGTTTCTTCCTGAAATTAACATTGGGGGCTGCTGGGAACACAGGCCACCTGTGACTCCCTGGTCAGGTGACTCCCTGGTCAGGGGCGGAGCGAGCGGCCTTTGTGGGGAAAGATCCCAGTGGAGGGCGAGGGCACCCCTGCCCTGCTCCTTGGGGGGACACTGGGCCGTGGTGGCCGTTAGCCCAGCAGCACCACGCGCACCTGCCAGCCCTGCGCTCGGCCCCGGCGTGGGGCTGGTGTGTGGCTCTCTGACGGTCACGGAGGGGCTGCGGGGGTGGGGGCCCCGCACAGGAGGGCCTCAGAGAGCTGGGCCTCGCCAGGGCGGGTGCTGACAGGCTGTGGTGCAGCGCTCCCCGTGGGCTAACGGTGTGATTTGGCTTCTAGGTGCCGGCAAAGCCCCATCCCTGGGCGGAGGCTTCCACGTGAACCTGGGGAAGGAGTCAAGAGCGCAGACACTGCAGAACGGTACCCGGGCCCAGCTGGGCGGGGGGGCGGGGGGCGCGGAGGCGGGGGACAGGGCCCGGGCCAGGAGAAACCCGTCACCAGGACTCTCTGCGGGAGGCCCGCGTGCTGTCTCTGTGAAGACCAGACACGCGGTCCTGATAGACCTGAGTGGCGGGCAGCCGGCCCGTGCTCCAGCCAGCCCGGGGTCCTGCAGGCACTGCCGTCGCCTGTGGGCTGAGAGCTCAGGGACCTGAGAGTCCAGTTGTGCTTTGGTGGCACGAGGTTCAGGACTCGCCTGCCATCGGGGCCCTCTACGGGGAGCACGGGGTGGGGGACTCGTCACTGCCGCCCCGGGGAAGGATGCCCTTCGTCTTGCTGCGCCAGCCCTCCCCCGGCCTGGTGCCCGCGCTCCTTCCCGGTGCCCAGCCCGTGCCCGTCCCCGCGGTGGAGACTGCAGGTGGGTCTCTGTCCCCTCGGGTCTGAGCGCCCGCCACCCTCCTCGCTGGGCCTCTGGGTCCTCCCTCCTTTTGGGAGCGGGTTCCGGGGTTGTTTCCGGGCTCTGTCGGGGTGGCGTGTGGACAGGAAGGCCGTGGGGGGCGTGGGAGTCAGGCCCGGCCCACGGGGGCAGACGGGCTTCTGGGCGGGAGAGCCCACCGTCCCGCCCGTGTCCTTGGGCATCGATGCCAGAGTGGACCCAGGGCACGCCCACCGGTGCACCTGCCTGTGCTGTCGAGGGCACCCTGTCTGCCCAGAGCACGCATGGTGGCGTTCGGCCGTCTTCCCGGCGGATGGCAGGCCGCCCAGGCCGCGCTTTGCCTTCCCTGGTGAGCAGCCGTGGCTGCCGTGGTCGCCCGAGCCCCACACCCCTCGTGGCCTCGTCCTTGTCCCTGCACAGGCTGGTGCGTTCTTTAAGACGTTTGTTTTTATGTTCTCAGAGAGGGGAAGGGAGGGGGAGAAGAACATGGGTCTGAGATGGAAATACAGATCAGCTGCCTCCTGCACGCCCCCCAGGGGTCACACCCCAACAGGCATGTGCCCGCGGGAGCCTGGTGTGCTCACGCCGCCGCCCAGCAGCCTGGCGCTGACAGACGGTCCTCCTTCTGCTGACTCGTGGGTGTTCTTCCCCCAGTCCAGGTGTGAGTCCCTTGTTGGTGTACATATATATTTAATGTTTTTATTGATATTTTAGAGAGGAAGGGAGAGGGATAGAGATGGAAGCATCTATGAGAGAGGAACATCAACTACCTCCTGCCACCTGGCCATGTGCCCTGACTGGGAATTAAACCGTGACCTCCTGGTCATAGGTCAATGCTCAACTACTGGGCTGATAAGACAATTTTTAATAAGATTTCAATAGGACCACTGATGTCTGTTTCTTCCTGTTAGTTCTTTTAATACATTTTTACTGATTTCCGAGAGAGGAAGGAGAGGGAGAGAGGCATTGATGGGCTGCCTCCTGCACGCCCCGCACTGGGGATGGGCCCACACCTGGGCCTGTGCCCTGACTGTGACCTCCTGGTTCGTAGGCTGACCCTCAGCCACGGCGCCCGCGGCCGGGCGCTGTCACGTGTCACGCTGGTACGGCGGGCTCCTCAGGTGTCGGCCGTCGCAGCGCCGCCCTGACCCCGGGCTGGCTCAGGTCCGCCTTTCAGCCTGGCCTGGCAGCTGTTTTCTTTTAATTGATGCGAGAGCGAGAGAGAGGTTGGGGAACAAGGGTGTGCTGTCCCCTTGTGCGTTCCCCGGTGCTCAGAGATTGCACCTGCACCCTGGTGCATGGGGACGTGCTCTGCCCGCCCGGCCAGGGGGGTGTGCTGTGCCCGCCCGGCCAGGGCGACGTGCTCTGCCCGCCCGGCCAGGGGGGTGTGCTCTGCCCACCCGGCCAGGGGGACGTGCTGTGCCCGCCCGGCCAGGGCGACGTGCTCTGCCCATCCAGCCAGGGCGACGTGCTCTGCCCGCCCGGCCAGGGCGACGTGCTCTGCCCGCCCGGCCAGGGCGACGTGCTGTGCCCGCCCGGCCAGGGCGACGTGCTCTGCCCGTCCAGCCAGGGCGATGTGCTCTGCCCGCCCGGCCAGGGCGACGTGCTGTGCCCGCCCGGCCAGGGGGGTGTGCTCTGCCCGCCCGGCCAGGGGGACGTGCTGTGCCCGCCCGGCCAGGGCGACGTGCTCTGCCCGTCCGGCCAGGGCGACGTGCTCTGCCTGCCCGGCCAGGGCGACGTGCTCTGCCCGCCCGGCCAGGGCGACGTGCTGTGCCCGCCCGGCCAGGGGTTCAGAGTGCAGCGTGTTCGCCTTCCCCGGCGGCTCCGGACGTGTGCGGCGTGAGCCTCCGCCTCAGGCGTCCGTCCAGCCTGTTCCGCCCGCTGCCGGCTCGTCGCCGCTCCCGCTGTGTCTCCCCCTTCCTCATGCTGGGCTCGGCCCACCCCGGGGGTCAGACGGCTCTCTGCTCTACCTCTGTGGTGTCAGTGTTGGTGCTAACACGTCGTAGGCTCCCGGTGGCCGCTGAGCGCATGCTCCGGACGCGGCGCCCCCGGGCCCCGTCCACCCTGCCGGCCTCTCCTCCCTGCGTGCCCTGTCCGAGGAGCCCTGGGCAGCGGTCCTCATGGAGTTCGCTGTGGATTTGGGGGACATCCCCCAAGGGGGCAGCCTCCTCTTCCCGGTCAGTGTGCTGGGGCACAGGCCGCGTCCCCAGGCTCCTCTGCTCCATCGGCGCTGCGATCCGGCACTCAGGCTCACAGCCGTGGTCCCAGCAGGGGCATCGCAGGTGTCAGTCTCCCCACCCCCAGCGCCCCCTTCGGCCAGGTTGTGGCGTTGGCATCTGTGTGACCCGCGGAACGCCTGCGCCCAGGCGGGGAGATGGCCCATCCTGCCACTCCCTGGACCCTCAGGCCGCGGCACCGTCAGGTCCCCCCTGGGCCTCTGCTGGGAACAAGCCCCACGCGTTTATCCCCGTGTTCACGTGTTTCTTCCTGTGAATCCGTGTCTTCTGCGTGTTGAGGCTCCGAAAGCTTCTGCTGTGAGCCGCCTGCTGGTCGACCTCGGCATCTCTTCCTTCACCTCGCGTCCCCCAGGGTTGGTGATTTGTGTGGTTCGTTCACGTTACATAACACGCAACTTAAAGTATACGAACACGTGACTTAAGCCATAAGAACACCTGACTTAAGCCATAAGAACACGTGACTTAAACTATACGAACATGTGACAAACTATATGATCACGTGACTTAAGCTATACGAACACCGTCTTAAGCTATACGAACACCGTCTTAAATTGACCCCTTGTTTTCCTCGGGCGCGGGCGCCTGCGGCTCTGGGTGCCGGGCTCGGGTCAGTAGCGGCTTGTGGGGGGCAGCGCGGGGCTGGGGGCTCGCACCTGCTGGAGCGCCCCTACCGGCTCTGCAGCAGCTCCCGTGGTGCTTCCGGCCGGGCGCCAGGGAGCTGTGGCTTGCGGTGTGGAGTGACCAGAGGGCCGCCTTCCCCGGGCGCTGCTCTGTGTCCACGTCTGTCAGTGCCTGTGCGGATGGAGGGCTCCGCTTTGACCAAGTGTCCACCTTTCAAAGGCGCCTGCGGCCAGTGGTCCCTGCTGGGAGGAGGCCCGAGGTCAGGAGGCTGGGCTGGGCCCGGGGCCGGGCTGGGCCGTGGGGGGGGGGGAGGGCTCGGCGGGGGGGAGGGGCAGGTTAGGCTGGGGGGAGGGCGGGACAGCGGGCGATGCGGTGACCTGTGTCGTTAACGGCGCCGTGCCGCTGCCCTAGCCTGAGTCCAGCTCCTCGGGGGGGCGTGAGGGCGGCGGTGGGCGCCTCGGGGCTGGCCCGCGTGTGGGTCGGGCTCGCTCACTGACGGTGCCGGGCCGTCGGAGCGACGCTCCGGTGAGGCTGCGGTCGGAGCCGCACTGCACGGTGCAAGTCACGGGGCCTGGCCCGCCTGGCGGCTGGACGGAGGGAGGAGCCCGGCCTGAGAGCCCCTCGGGGCACCCCTCTGCCTTGTGGGATTCGAGTCCCCGGCATCTGCCCGGCGGGCCGGCCTCATGGGCCTGTCAGCGGCTCTGTCGCCGGGCCTTGGGGCAGAGCTGGCTGCATGCGCCCGCCCGGCACGCTGACGGAGGGTGGAGTTGGCGGTGGGCTCTGGGGACGGGACGATGACCCCGGCCCCGTGCTGGTCCCGCCTGACTGGGGCCTGGAGCTGCGTGGCTGCGGGCAGCCTCTGGCAGCAGGGCTGTGTGGTGAGGGTGGGGCTCTATGGGGTGCCCACTTGGGTCCCTCAGGTAGAGTCAGCTCATCCCCAGCTGCCAGGCTGGTCCTCGGGGCTGCTCCCCGGGTGCTCAACCCAGGCAGCCGTCACTTCCGGGTCCTCACCGTGGGCAGCGGTCACTTCTGGGTGCCCATCTTGGGCAGCGGTCACTTCCAGGTCCCACCCCGGGCAGTGGTCACTGCTGGGCGCCCACCTTGGGCAGCGGTCATGGGCGGGTCAGTGTCAGTAGCATGTGCAGGTGTGTTGGGGGCCACGAGCCAGTACGGAGGACACCACAGCACCTTAGCCTCCCACGGCCACCGCCCTCCCAGAGAAAGCGGGACGGGCGGAGCCCCACTGCTCAGCGCTCGCCTGGGGTGCAGGAGGGTGGGAGGAGGGCCCCAGCGGTGAGGACGGTGGGACTCGGCCCTTCACTCTGCAGCGTCACCGTGCCCCCAGGGCCTTGGCCTCTGTTCTGCGTGCAGGGCCTCTCGTGGGAGGCGGGGAAGCAGCCTGGGGGGTTGTGTGCTCAGAAGGCCGGTGTGGAGATCGTTGCTGCCTCGCTGTCTCGCAGCACCGGGCTCTGCTAGTGCCCCGGCCCGGATGGCAGAGGTGGGGGTGCCAGGCGTGAGAGGGCGTTCCTGTGCGACCCTTCGCGGGCCCTGAGCGCAGGGGCTGAGGGCTCGCCTGCCCCGTGCCCGCGCCCCCCGGCCTGGTCTGTGCCGGTCAGCATGGGGCGTGTTTGGCGGCTCGTGGGTGCACAGGGCGTTCGTGCAGGGAGCGCGTGCGGGCAGGGCAGCCGGGTGCGGGGCGTGGGGCCGGCGCTCGGGGCCCAGCGGTAACCGTGGTCGCCTTGTGCCCAGGACGGCGCCAGATCCACCACCTGGGGAGCCAGCTGCAGCTGAACCAGCACTGCCTGGACACGGCCTTCAACTTCTTCAAGATGGCCGTGAGCAAGCACCTGACCCGCGGCCGGAAGATGACCCACGTGATCGCCGCCTGCCTCTACCTCGTGTGCCGCACCGAGGGCACGCCGCGTATCCTTCCTGCGGCCCCGGCGGCCCCCTGGTTCTCGGAGGCTGCCTCTGGGTGTTGGGGCGCAGTAGCTGCAGTGGCCTGTGCTCAGGGGGAGCGCCCAGGAGCACTCACCGTCGGGATGAGGCCGGCTTCAGGCTGCCTGCACGCTGCACAGTGTGCTTTGCCCGCAGCGGCTCTCCTGGCATTCCGGGGCTCCTGAGTGCAGCCAGATCATGGCAACGGGCCACTGTCCGCAGGAGCCGGCAGGAGGGGCAGCTGCACAGAGCGCCCCGGGGCCGGGCCGGGCGTGGACAGGCTGCTCCGAGTTGGGGAGAGGGTGGCTGCCGGGGCGAGCTGTCCTGACTCCGGTCTGTGGTGGACGTCCTGCGGCAGGTCCCCCCTGGACTGCTGTCAGCAACTGTGGGGCCTCTTCCCGTGTCGTCCGGGACAGGCCTGTCCTGCAGGGCCAGCGGGCGCCTGCTTCCTCAGGAGCAGCTTCACTGAGAGGCAGGCCACGTGCCACGCGATGCACCGTTAGCTGTGGGCTCGGCGCTGTGGGCGCACCATCTGTGCCAGGGCTCCATCGCCGCTGGCTCTGCCCCCAGCGGGCCTCCTGGTGCTCATGGAGCCGGCGCCATCGGCACGTGGCTGTCACCCGGCCCCGTGGTGGCCTCGCTGGGGCTCAGCCAGCAGCCACGTCCCCGGCCACCGTCTTAAAAACCACACTTGGCTTTGTTGTTCACCACTTCGGATTTACACTTACTCACTTCAGTGATTTCTCTGATTGTTTCTTTCCTTTTGTCTTCGGGTTTTATTTTTCATTTTCCCAGCTCCTTCATACGCACGAGTCTAGTTGGCTTTTCCTGATGTGAGTGTGTGAGGCCATGAGTTCCCAGAGGTGGGTTTGGTTCAGCATTGTGCAGTTTTGTTGTTTTGATTTTTTGTTTGTTTTTTAAATATATTTTCATTGACTTCAGAGAGGAAGGGGGGGAGAGAGAGAGTGAGAGAGAGAAACGTCAGTGATGAGAGAGAATTGATTGGCTGCCTCCTGCATGCTCCCCACTGGGGATCGAGCCCATAACCCAGGCATGTGCCCTTGACCAGAATCGAACCCAGGACCCTTCATTCCACAGGCGGATGCTCTATCCACTGGGCAACACCAGCTGGGGTGCACCATGCAGTTCGGAATATGTTCTGGTTTCCATGGTTGCTTCTTAGGTGCTGCACTCGTTTAGAAGTTGTTGGTGCTTGGAAGACAGTTTCCTCGTCCGGCCAGGTTAGCGTGTGTGACCGGGAGCTACGGACAGGCCTGCTGCCAGGCGCGGAGGCTGCGCGCCTCAGCCTGGAAAAGCGTACCTGCCGCCAGGTGGCTCCGGGCCGCCGCCCTCCGGTGAGTCCGGTGCGTCCGGCGGTGTGAGGCTGGGACCCACCGCGCCGCGGCCGGCCTGCTCCTGGTCTCCCACTGTCCGCTGCCATCAGGATACAGCTCGGGAAACGGCTCTCGCAGCGTCAGGAAACCCTGTGTTCCCCCACCCCTCCCGCTGGGTGCAGCGAAGCCACGCTGCTGCTGGGCGCTGCAGGGCCTGTGGGCCCGGCTTTCAGACCCGTATCCGTGACGACCGCCTGTCCTGAGCAGCGTGTGATGGTGTGTGAATCCGGTCTAGCTCTGTCCTCTCCCCTCCTCTGAGAGAGATCGCGTTTCACTGCAGTTCCACGCGGGCGCCTCCCTCAGGCCTCTGCCCTGTCTCCCTGCTGTCAGCCGTGCGCTGAGGGGTCAGCTCCTGTGGGGACATGACCAGAGCCGCGCGGGGCAGGTCCTCCTGTGGCCTCGGGTCTGAGCGCCAGCCCCGGCCGTGTCCAGCTCCGCACGCTCTGCCCACAGGTGCCTGTCAGGCCTGTGGGGGCCCGGTGTGTGCTCTGTGGAGTGAGCTCGGCGGGGCTGGGGCAGTGTGTGCAGGCCTGGCGCCAGGTGTGCGGGGATGGGCGCACGGGGTCTTGTCCTGGCCCGGGCCGGGGTGCCGTGCGGCGTGGTGCCCCTCAGGAAAGCTTACCCAGCGCCAGGGCCCTGCAGAGGCCGCGGCACGGGCAGGCCCCCCCGAGGCTCCTGTGCTCCGGGCCCTCCTCCCCGGGTCCCTTTGGGGCTGGAGGAGGAGCCGCTGCTTTCTCACTGTATCTCCCAGCCCTGCCCGCCGCTCAGCTTTAGTCAGGCCTCCTGGGTGGCGCTGTGCGCTGGTGGGGATCCTGTGCTGACTCAGTGCTGCCTGTGGCGTCTCCGTTACTGCCCCGTTACTGCGAGCCTGAGCCTCGGTGAGGTCCGCCTGGGATGGTCTCGAGGCGGCAGGCACCAGGCGCGGTGGGCGCGGTGGGCGTGGACGGCACTTTCAGAGAATCGCGGGGGTCTGCGGGCCTCTTGGGGCTGGCCCGAGGCTGATGGGTGTCTCTCACCATCGTTCTACACGGTGGTGTGGCTCTGCTCCGAGGGCACGCTCAGCGCCACCCACCAGAGCAGGCAGCGACCGGAGGGCGGCAGAGACCCCCGGTCCCAGCGAGCCTGGCCTGGGGTCCTGAGGGGCTGCAGTGGGGACAGTCGCCCAAGAGCCGGCTACACGCACTTTAGTGGGGAACCTGAGAGGGTGGGCCCAGAGCATGATGGCTGTTGCCCGGGGGAGGCGTGGGGGATGGTGCAGGTCAGAAGCACGTGGCTCTGACGGTCCTGCTCAGAGGAGGGGCTTCCTCCAGAGGGAACAGCCAGGTGCCGGCCGCCCTCGACCTCGGTCATGCTGACTTCCAGCCTCCTTTCTAAGATCCCTGCTGTCCAGCACGGCCCAGACTGGCCCACTGTCACCCCGCAGCCCTGCCCCCTTCCCCCGTGCCGCTCCCCCACACGCTCCCAGGCCTGCAGCGGCGCTCAGAGCCCAGTAAAAGTAAAAATAAGCCAGCACCTGCTTGGCTTATTTTTACTTTTGAGGCTTCAGAGCGATGCCAGGGTCTCCGCTGTGGCGGGATGAGCTCTGGCGGACGTGCATCGTGCAAACGGGCATCTGGGGAAAGGGCAGCACCGCCCGGGCAGTTCCCAGCGCCCGTGGGCTCGGCGCCCTCCGGGGGCCCCTGCTGCCGGCGAGCTCATCCAGGCCTGCGCCGGGTCTGTCCCTGCGGGGCCTCTGCCTCCCCACGTGGGGGGGGCAGGTCGCTGTGAGGCGTGGCCAGGGTGGCGCGGGCTGTTGCGTGGCTGCACCGTGCTGGCACTGCTTTGCCGGGAGGTGACGCGCGGTTTCCTGCGTGGCTGGCTCTGCTTCTCTCGGTGAAACATCTGCTCCAACTTCCGCCCATGTGTTAGCCTTTACTTTGTGACGAGTGCCCGGTGCATGGCTCCTGGGCATGGGAAGGAAGTGAACTAGAGGGAGGCCTTGGGGCTGGGCGAGACACACCCTGGGAGCCAACCTCCCTCGGCCCCTCCCCGTCCGGTGGCACCTGGGGCGGTCCACGGCTTGCAGGTCATCTGCGAGTGAGCGGGTCCCTCCGGCAGGCAGGGTCCCTCGGCCTGGCCTGCGGGGATCAGCTGAAGCCAGCTCTCCGACATCCCCGAGGCACTGGTTGCCGCACTGTTGACTAATGAGTTTACCCACCACTGCTGAGGCATCACCCTCACCCAGTTATTCCTCAGGTTGCAGACATCAGTACTTTATTAAAATGTTGTTTGTGTGTTTTCCTTAGCAGTGGTCCGCAAGCTCATAGCCAACAGAGCGGCAAACTGCCCAGGGGTCCCGGATTGCGAGGGCGGTTCTCGCGTGGCACACCTCGGATTCGGGCTCCTTCCTCTGGTGCTGGGGTACATCGCCGAGAACCGCCCCTGCCAAGTCACCGCAGCCCTGTGTTGAGTCTGCCCCCTGGTGGTCAGTGCCAGCTGGTGGAGCAGGTTCCTGGGCCTTGCTCTGAGTCACTAGGGCCTGTTCTGGTTGTGTGTGAACCGTCCGCCAAGAGCCAGGACAGGGCCGTGCCAAGCCCCTCCTCATCTCCCCCCGTCAGCTGCCCCTCGAGCACAGCGCTGGGCAGCGCCTGTGCAGAGTCCTGGGCAGGGGACGGTGTAGCGTCGCAGGCACAGTGACGCTGCTGTGCACTTGTGCCGGGGCAGGGCCCCTGGGGCAGGCCCCCCCAACCCCCTAGTGCAGGGGCCTGGTGGGCGGCTCTCACCGTCCTGCTGGTGGCTCACCGGAGCCTCTGGAAGGCTCCGTCACCTGCTGCCGCCAGTCCCCCCTGGACCCGGGCGCCGAGCATGCATTTCCCAGGTGCCACGCTCCTTGACCCCTCCTGCAGATATGCTCCTGGACCTCAGCGACCTGCTCCAGGTAAGTCCCCGAGTCCCTTTGCCTTGGGGCTGTGCTGGGCATGTGCTGCCCGGCCCAGTTGGGAGGGTCCACAGGTGAGGGACACACGAGGGTGTGCTCTCTGGTGGGGGCACTGGACTGGGGTCCCCTGTTGTCCTGGACCAGTGGCCCAGCCTCAGAACCGGTGGAGACCCAGCTGAGACTTAGGCAAGGGCATTCTTTTTTTTTTTTTTTTTTTTTTTTTTTTTTTTTTTTTTTTTAAATATATTTTTATTTGATTTTGTACAGAGAGGAAGGGAGAGAGATAGAGAGTTAGAAACATCGATGAGAGAGAGTCATCGACCAGCTGCCTCTTGCACACCCCCTACTGGGGATATGCCCGCAACCAAGGTACATGCCCTTGACCGGAATCGAACCCGGGTCCTCCAGTCCCCAAGCCGACGCTCTATCCATTGAGCCAAACCGGTTTCGGCAGGGCATTCTTTTAAAGAAGAAAACCGGACTCATATAAACCACCTGCGAACTGATTTACCGTCAGTTCGGAGAAATCTGCCTCCTGGGTGCCAGGAAGCATCTTCCTGTGGGATCTCTCATCTCAGTGTGATGGGGAGGGAGGCCCAGTGAGAGGAACAGGAGCCGGCAGACGCTCGGGGGCCGGCAGTGCCGGGCTGAGGCACCGAGGTTCTGCATGTCCCGTGCCCTGGGTCAGCCCATGGCGAACGCCCACCCAGGGACCCGAAAGAGAAACCATTGGAAACAGGAAACCCCATTCGTGCGGGGTCCCCACGAATTCCACCCCGTGGGAAAGCTTAGCCCAGATCCAGTGTCCTCCGGGGCTCAGTGCCTGGGGTGCTCCGTCTCCTCCCAGCCGCCCTCATGCACGGGCTCCGAAGTCCTGCTGCAGGCTGCCCACTGGTGGTGAGAACCAGCGCTGCACGGCCAGCGCCCAGGGCAGCCCGGCTTCCTCCCCACCCTCTCCACCCGGCAGCAGCCCAGCAAGGCCGGCGGGAAGGGCTCAGGGCTGTCTGCAGGGCGGGTGTGTTCTGGTAGCTTCTCACCTCCCAGCTTTGAAATGGGAGCCAGTTAGGTGTCCAGACTGAGAGGGCAAGTGGCCGCTCACTGGGCCGGACCAGGGCCCACCAATCCCGGTGCTGACCGCAGGTTCAGGCTGGACACGTGCTCAGACCGTCAGCTCCGGGCGGGGGGCCGGGCTCAGCGTTCCCAGGGGTCGTTCTGCGCTGCCCGGGTGGAGCCGTCCTGAGGGCCTCGCCTGGGAGCTGGCACTGCCGGCTGCCCATTAGAGGAAACGAGTAGGACTCCCAACTGGAAGGGGCCCCTGGGGCTCGGTGCTCGTTTTGTTGGTGCTCGTTTTGTTGTCCCCCGAGGCCCACTCCCTGGCCAGCTCAGCGAGCCTCCGGCGGGAGCCATGGGCACCATGGCGCCCGGCCTGCGTGGGCGAAGGCGGACTGGGCCGCACAGGGTTCCCCGAGGCTGGACAGCGAGGCGGCACCGTGAAGGAGCAGAGCAGACGTTCCCCAGCGAACGCCCCATGGCTCTCCGCAGGTGAACGTGTACGTGCTGGGGAAGACGTTCCTGCTGCTGGCGAGGGAGCTCTGCATCAACGCGCCCGCCATCGGTAGGCACGGCTGCGCCTGGCACGGCGAGGGGGTGCGAGGGCGAGCACAGGGCCGCTCAGCGGTGAGTTACTCCGACTTAAAACCAAACGCTGAAGCCAGCTCTCGGCGAGAGTGGACAAGGGTGTATCAGGACATGGGGTGGGCGCTGCAGCTCGAGGGACCTGTGCCGACCTCCTGAGGAAAGCGCCTGGCGGCCAGTGCCCCAGGCAGGCGGGACGTTGGCACAGCCGAGCAGCCGCCTGCCCAGTGGAGCTCTGCTGGCAGGCCTCTTCCCATGCCACTGGCATCCGGGGGAGCTGGCCTGGACCACCCCGAGGACGGTCCCCAGGGCCGGGAAGATGCCCAGGAGGCTGGAGGGCTGCAGGACGGGAGGCCCTCTCCTCCCAAGAGGCCCCGTCCCTGCTGAGTGTCACTGTACTTACTCCCGTCCCCTCCCCCCCCCCCCCCGTCCCCACCCATCATGCTACTTTCCCCAGAAGCAGCCATGGCCCAGGGAGAGTGCTGATGGAGGAGAGGCCGCTTCCCTCCAGTGCACCCCGGGGGTTCCTGCCCGCCGGAGTTCAGGGGTGAGACCCTGGGCCCTGCGAGTGCCCACCCCACTCCCTCGAACCCGAGCTCGTCCTAGAGTAGGGTTTTGTCTGAGCAACTAGTGACGCTGAGCACATGCAGGACTGTGGCCTTTTCTGAGCATTCTGGCTGCAGCCCTGGCTGCCCGGATGGGGAGGCCCGCCTGCGGCAGAGGCAGGTCTGGCCCACAGGCTTCCCCGGGCCAGTTTGCGCCTGACCAGTGAGCGTGGTGAGCAGGCATGTCTCTCCTCCGCTGCTGGGCGGCCAAGCGCCCGCAGGTCTTTACTGTACGTGGCTCACTTTATTAAAACTCAAGAGAAAAGATGAGTGATTTTTCCCAGGTTTTAGAATTGGAGGAAGGTCTGAAGCTTAGAACAACTCAGAACAAAGCTTAGGAGGGTGGGAGGGATGGCCAAGCCCACAAAGTACATGGCGTGGGCACCATTGGCGGGTCCAGGCTGCCCTCCGCCCCCAAATCCTCCTCCACCTAGTGAGCACCCCAACGTGCAGGAGGTGTGGAGGCCCCGCCACCTGGATTCCGAGCCCGGCTCTGGCCGTGTGAAGCGTCTCGTGTATTCCTCTGGCTGCAGCCAGCGGCGCACACGAGGTCAGGAGTTTGAGGACGGGGCCTGCATGCCGGAGGACGGGCGCCCGCACGCCCCCGCTCAGGCGTAGAAGATGAGCTCGGGGATCTGGCCGCCCTGCACGCCCGTGCCGTTGGTGCTGTCGGACGAGCACTGGAACTGGAAGGTGACCGTGCCGCACTGCACCTCCGTCAGGCCCTCCTGCCCGAAGTAGCTGAGCTCGCTGCCGTCCAGCACGGCGCTGGCCGTGTAGAAGGCGTCCCGCTCCACCTGCACCGGGTGCTCGAACCACACGGGGAAGGTGCCGCTGGAGCCGTCGGACACGAACCGCGTCAGGTTCTGGGCGAGGACCACGCCCAGGCGCTTGAGCTCGATCTTCACGCTGTACTCGGCCTTCCCCGAGCTGGACCCGTACAGGCCCAGCCCGGCCACGAACACCCTCCTGTCCGCCGCGAACTGGATGCTGTCGCAGCGGCCGCGGTAGCGCCACTGGTTGCTGCGGTAGGCCGAGGACTGGAAGCGGTGGCACCGCTGGGGCGCCAGGCCGCGCCGCTTGGCGAGCGGGAAGTCGAGCGGGGGCTTGTTGGCCGCCGTGTACCACAGGAAGATGTTGTGAGTCTCCTCCAGCGTCAGGATGTCCGACTGGGCGGGGCCGTTGGCGAACTCCTCCAGGGTCATGGTGGGGATCCGCACCAGGTGGAGGGCGGGCCCCAGCACGTGCCTCTTGTTGCGCGGGGTGGCGGGCAGGCCCTGCCGCTTGCACTCGGCCTCGGCCCAGCTCAGCACGGCCTCGAAGACCACCGCCTCCTTGGTGTTGAGGGCCTCCCGGGTGACGATGACCTCCAGGGTCTGCCAGTCGATCTCGCAGAAGCCCTCGGACCTCAAGGCCATCTCGGCCTGCGCGTCGATGACCTCCCAGCAGCGCTGGGTCAGCTCGGGCTCCTCGAACAGCCGGCTCTGCGACAGCAGCACGCACGCGTTCTTGGCCTCCAGGCTGGTCTCCAGGAAGTGCACGCAGGCCTTGGCCAGCGCGGGCACGATGTACTTCTTGGCGGCGTAGAGCGTGGCCAGCACGGTGTCCGCCTCCAGGTCGATCTCGTCGCTGTACATGTACCTGCGGGGCGGGCGGGCGGTCACAGGCCGCCTGGGGCAGCGGGGACCCCCCCCCCGCCAGAGGAGCCCCCTTACTTGAGCATGGTGAGGAAGGCGGCGGGCTCCACGTCAGGGATGTGGATCTCCGGCTTGACTTCGGCCAGGTCCCCGTAGAACATGGCGTAGAAGACGGAGCTCCCGACCGCCAGGACGTACTGTGCGGGAGAGAAGCCGCCTGAGCCCGGCCTTGCGCCCGCGGGGCAGGGCCGGGGCTACATGCAGGAAGTGGCCGGGGCCTCACCAACCTTGTGGGCAGGCACCCGCTGCGCCCCGCCCGGGGGCCCCACCACGAAGTGCACGTCGGCCATGAGCTCGTTGTTGAAGAGGAGCGCGTTCCTGCGGGGAAGGCACAGGCTGGGCGGGGGCGCGCGGCGCGCGGGGCGGGCGGGGGCGGGCGGGGGGCGCGGCGGGCGGCGCTCACCTCTCGCGCAGGGTCGGGCGGCAGGACTGCCAGCTGGGGCTCTCCAAGTTGTTGTTGTCGGGCGCGGGCGGCGCGGGCGGCGGCGGCGGCGGCGGCGCGGGCGGCGGGGCGCTGGGCGGGCCCTTCCTGCCCGCGGCGGCGGCGGCGGCGGCGTTGCTGTTGGCGATGTCCGTGGCGGCGGCGGCGGGCGCGTACAGCTCCGCGGCCATCTTCCCGGGCAGGGCCTGGGCGCGCGGGGGCGGGGCGCCGGGCGTCCGGGGGCCGCGCCGCAGCCTCGGGGTGGGCTCCGCCAGCACGAGGAGCGCGGCCAGACACTGCGCCACCCGGCCGTGCAGACAGGCCAGGGGCAGCAGCATGGGCCCGGCGCCGGCCGCTCCCTCCCGCCGCCTCCGCCGCCGCCGGGGCGCGGGTCCAGCCGCGTCACGGCGCCCGGCCGCCCCGCCCCGCTCCGCTCCGCCCCGCCCCGCCCCCGGTGACGTCCCCGCTCTGCCCCGCCCCCGGTGACCGCCCCGCCCCCGGTGACGTCCCCGCCCCGCCCCCGGTGACGTCCCCGCTCCGCCCCGCCCCCGGGCCGGCTCCGCCCCACCTCCCAGCGCCGCGGCCCCGCCCCCGGAGCGGTCCCTTGTCCCGGCGCTCCCAGCCCCGCGTCCAGTGGGGACCGCGCCAGTGAGCCCAGCACCTAGCGTTGCCTGTGGCCTCTCCGCGCCTCCGTGCGGCTTCCTTGGAGAAGTGGGGCTCTGTACCCTGGGCCTTCCTCCTTTTTAAATGTCTGTAATGGGCCGACCGGAGGGAAGCAGCGGCCTGGGACCGGACCGGCTGCTTCCTAGCACGCCCCTCCGCCCGGGATCGGGCGGGCCCTCGGTGAGCTCCTGTGCGCCCAGCAGGTCACACCTGCCCTGGCCCGGCGCCTCCCGCTTTTAACCAGGTTCCTGGGGTTAAGGATCCCAGAGGCTCTCCGGTGAGCATTGCTCGTGTTCATCCGTATCAGACGGGCTTGGAAACACTCTCCCCTCCCTCAGCGCCTTCCTAAAAGGTCCCACCCGAGCACACATGTTCTTCCTGGTTTTAGAGCCAGGAACATGGTGTAGAGGGACGTGGACCACTTGCCTCCCATAACCACGCGGACCTGCTGTCTCTGTGCCGGGGCAAGGGGGGGGCGCCCCCAGCTGCCTGTGGGGCCAGGTGGCTGTGTGGAGTCTGTGCGGCCGGGCAGTGCTCACTCGCTGCTTCGGGGCTGGTGCTGCTCACGGCCTCGAACCTAAGGGACTTGCAGGCCCAGCTCAGGCATCAAAGCCCGTGGGCGGAGGGAGGCACAGCCCCGTCTGTCTCCCCTCTGCCTGCTTTTGGGGCCGTAATGCGCTTCCAATCCCCTCCTGGGCCTCCCAGCCTGCCCCTCTCCCCCAGCAGCCCTCGGAGCAGGGCCCTCTGGGACAGTCCGCTCCCCAGTCTCCCTTGCCGCTCGCAGGCCCGCACAGCCCTCCGCCAGCCAGCTGCTGTGGTGGTCAGCATGTCCACTTGGTGACGTGGAGGCTGGAGGCCCAGGCAGCCTCCCTGCACGGAGCCCCTGTGCGCGTCCCCCTGAGCAGCTGGTCTCCCTTGGGCAGCAGGGCGGGGGGAGGAGCACGGCCACAGAGCATGTAAAAGCTCTGCCCGACCTCACCCCACCCACCATGTCAGTGAAGCAGCCGCTGCCTAGCGTGGGGTGGTGGCGGTGGCGGTCAGGGCCCCTCCCCGAGGTCGGGGCTGCAGGTTCCAGGTGCGGGTCCTGGGAGGCTGTGGTGGAAGGACAGGAGGGGGTGGCCCCGGCGGGGAGCGGGGGGCGATGCGGCTGGGGGGACATGTGCTGGGGGGCGTGTCTGGGGCGTGTGCTGAGGGAGCGGCGCTGAAGTGCGTGTCTCCGCAGACCCCTGCCTCTACATCCCGCGCTTCGCCCACCTGCTGGAGTTCGGCGAGAAGAACCATGAAGTGTCCATGACGGCCCTGCGGCTCCTGCAGCGGATGAAGCGGGACTGGATGCACACGGGCCGGCGCCCCTCGGGCCTCTGCGGGGCAGGTACGGGCTGCCGGCTGGCCGCCGGGTGGTGGCTCCATCCTGACTGCAGCGGGGTGCTGGGTGGCTCCAGAGCTGCTCCCAGCCACCTGGACCTCTCGGACTCCTGCCTGCTCCAGGCGCCTCCACAGACAGAGCAGGCGCGGGACCTGGGGCTGACGGCTGGGCGCCCCAGGGGCTGCTCCCTGGCCCTCTGTACCGGGTGGCAGGTGCCCGCAGGCGCCTTTGGGTCTGTTGGAGCCACTTCTGGAGCCCTCCCCCCTAAACCTCTTGGCCCTGTGCCTAGTGCCCAGTGCCCACTCCTTCCTGGGCCGCCAAGGCCCATGCGCCCACCATCCGCTCCAAAGGCGCAGCGCTGCCCGGGGCGCGTTCCGTCCAGAGCCTGGTTTCTGAACTTGCAGACCAGGACCAGTGCAGCAGCACGGGCCCTCCCCGTCCCAGGCCCTCCCCGTCCCAGGCCCTCCAGCCCCCAGTTCCGCGCCAGCCAGCCCTACACGCAGGCCAGAGCCGCTGGGCTCTCGGCAGGGCTCTGAGTGCAGGACACGTGTGCTAGTTGTGTGCCCCGCTGCAGAGGGCAGGCAGCACGTGTGGGTCTCAGCGGACAGGACGGCGCCGGTGCAGGCAGCCTGTGCTGGGTCGCAGGCCTGTGCTCACCCTCGTCCCTCCTCCCAGCGCTGCTGGTGGCGGCCAGGATGCACGACTTCCGGAGGACGGTCAAAGAGGTCATCAGCGTGGTCAAGGTGTGCGAGTCCACGCTGCGGAAGAGGTGGGTCCCTGCTCGGGCCTCAGGGCAGGCCGAGTCCTCTGGCTCCGCCAGGCTGCTGCCCGGGCACCACCGCGGGGGTCCCTGCAGGCCCAGCGCAGAGGGGGCGCTCTCCCTGCCCAGGGCCCTCTCCTGGGGCCACGCCCGGGCCGTCGGCGGTTGGCGGCCCCCTCCGAGCAGCTGAGTGGGTGGCGGTTTATAGACTCGCCCAGAGGCAAGTGGGTCCGATGGGCACTGAGGGTCGCTCACCGTGTCCTGTCCGGTGTGTCCTGTCTGGTGTGGCCTGTCCGGTGTGGCCTGAGGGACGGTCACTGGGAGGAAGCTGAGCTCCAGCACGGCCCAGTGTCCACGTACGAGGGCCCAATGAGGCCACGGCCACCTGGCTCAGCCGCACGGCCGGTCAGTGGCGGATGGACCAGGTGCCTCTCCCGCTGGCAGTTCTTTCTGATCCCCTCACGCCGGCGGCAAGGACTAAGAAACAGACGAGCTGCCGAGAGCTCGCCTTCAGGGGGATCAGAGGGAGTGGCCCTCCCCCCAGCTCCCGGCGGCGTGGCTGCGGGCAGGCCTGAGCCGGTGGGCGGGCTGCGGAGTCCCAGGCGTGGCCGCTCCCTGGCTACGCCACTCCCTAATGCCAGCGTCAGTGGCTGTGGGGGCAGCAGGGCGTCTGTCGCATCTGTCTTAGGCTCACGGAATTTGAAGACACGCCCACCAGTCAGCTGACCGTGGACGAGTTCATGAAGATCGACCTGGAGGAGGAGTGTGACCCCCCGTCGTACACGGCTGGCCAGCGGAAGCTGCGGGCGAAGCAGGTGGGCCCACTGTGCACGGCGGCCTGTGCCTCCCGGTCAGCGCCCGGCTCTGTGGCCTGACACTGCATGTCTGGGCAGCACGGCAGTCTGCATGGGAGCCTGTGTGGGGGCGGGGCACACATGGAGATGCACACACAGAGGTGCGGGGGGCACACAGGTGCAGGGGGCACACACACAGGTGCGGGGGGCACACACACAGGTGCGGGGGGCACACACACAGGTGAGGGGGGCACACACAGGTGCGGGGGGCACACACACAGGTGAGGGGGGCACACACACAGGTGCAGGGGGCACACACACAGGTGCGGGGGGCACACACACAGGTGCGGGGGGCACACACACAGGTGCAGGGGGCACACAGGTGCGGGGGGCACACACAGAGGTGCGGGGGGCACACAGGTGCAGGGGGCACACACACAGGTGCGGGGGGCACACACACAGGTGCAGGGGGCACACACACAGGTGTGGGGGGCACACAGGTGCGGGGGGCACACACAGGTGCGGGGGGCACACACAGGTGCGGGGGGGCACACAGGTGCGGGGGGCACACAGGTGCAGGGGGGCACACACGGAGGTGCACACACAGAGGTGCAGGGCGGGGGCACACATGAGTCCCCTTCCCGGCCTGCCCCTCGGGGCGACGGGCATGGACCAGGGTGGTTTGTCTGGACAGCTGTGCACACATCCCTGGCCGGGACCCTGGCCCCTGACCCTGCTGCTCTGGCCCTTGATCAGCCCGTGAAACGTGTTCCCGGCAAGGCGGGCGTCGGCTGTGCCGGTAACGGCCCCAGGCGCGCGTCTGGGTGACATCCGGCCCTCCTGGCCTCAGCTCAGTGTCCGCCTCTTGGTTTTCAGCTGGAGCAAGTCCTGTCGCGGAAGCTGGAGGAGGTCGAAGGTGAGCAGCTGCCCTGCCCCGGGCGCCTCGGGCGGGAGGGTTTGGCTCACTTCCTGCTCGTCACTGCCCACAGGGGAGATCTCCAGCTACCAGGACGAGATCGAGACCGAGCTCGAGAACAGCCGGCCCAAGGCCAAGGGGGCGCTGGCCAGCCTGGCGAGAGACGGTGAGCGCACCCGTCCCCCCCCCCCCCCCCCCCCCCCGCGTCACCCTGAGCCTCCCCTACCCTTCCACCCTGCCCGTGTCCTCTTCATCCCAGCACTGAGCAGCTCCCAGCATCCAGTGCCCTCGCCTCTGTCCCTCGGTTCTGTTCTCCGACCCAGGCCTGCCCTGCTCACTGCCCGCAGGTCCCTGGACCCCTTTCCTGTCCACGGTGCCCCTCCGTGCCCGCCCTGCCAGCCCCGTCCCAAGCATCCTCCGTGCCCCTGCAGAGCTGCTATGGGCCTGCTGCACAGCCGTGTGCCCATGTGTTTTCATGCCTCTCTGGTCGGTCCCTCCTCCCCCTGCCCAGGGCTCGGCGCCGGCCGGGATGGGCAGCTCTCGGCGGGTCCCAGTCCCCGGCCTCAGGCCCGAGAGCAGGTGGCGTCTGCCCGTGCACTCCGTCTGGGCAGCAGTGCCAGCTCCTCTCCAGGGCTGTGTCCTGCCTCCAGCTGCTCCCTCTCACAGGCGGACCCTATGCCAGGGCTCGCTTGTGGCTGTGGTTCCCGCCCAAGGGCATTTTCTCCGTGCCTTCTTCAGAGAGAACGGAGCGGGGGGGGGGGGGGGTGAGAGGGGCATCGGTGAGAGAGACACATCGCCTGGCTGCCTCTGGCCCCGCAGGCGGGAGGATGTCCACACCCCGTGAGTGCCCGTGGCCGGGAGCTGAGCCGACAGCCCTGGGCACCCGGGCCAGCGCGCTTCGCACTGGCAGGGCTCCTAGGGCGCTTTCTCTACAGAACGTGTCTCTATTGCCGTCAGAGAGAGAGGGAGAGGAGGAGGGAGACATCACGACGGGAGAAGCATCCATCAGCTGCCTCCGCACCCCCACACTGCGATTGAGCCGCAGCCCAGGCCTGTGCCCTGACCAGGAATCGAACCCTGACCTCCTGGTCCCTAGGTCGATGCCCAGCCACGGAGCCACGCGGCGGGCCCTTAGGTTACTGTTCACGTCTGTTTTCTGTTCGTTCTCGGTCGTGGTCGCTCAGGTTTGGGGTTTCTAGGCGGGCTCGTGCCCTCCCATCACCGGGCTTTCCGTGGACTTAGGGCTGCTCTGTGTGGTGGTTGGGCCAGCGGCTTCTCCCGCGCCCGGCTGAGCACGCAGGGCGGGGCTGCGGCGTGCCGTCGAGGGAGGGGCACTCCCCGCACAGCTCCTGCTTCTCGTGCTGGAGCCGCGGAGAGCGGGCGCGGGAGCGGAGGCCTTCTGTCTTGCGCACTCACCTGTGGTGCCCGGTGCTGCTGGCTGCCCTCCCGTAGCCGTGCACTGCGTGTGTGGCCGGGCGCCATGGGTGGTGCCCGAGGCCTGGCTCCCCCTCCACGGGGTCTTCTGCGGCCCCCTCAGCGCTCTGGGCTGTGGACACGGTGGTCCTGTCGCGACCTGCTCTGGCTGTTGGGGAGCTCCCCGCGGTCTGAGCGAGCTGATTCTGGGGTGTCCTCCGACCTGGCGTCTTGTTACCAGGCTCCATGCTCCTCTCTCCAGCTCCCAGCCGCCCTCCCACCACAGCTGCGCTGTCAGGTGGCATCCGCCCACCTACCACCGGCTCAGCGCCAGCAGAGGGGACGGGCATGCTGCCTTGGTTTCGGGGCTGTTCCTGAGCCCCCTCCTGATCCACGCCCGTGAGCCTGTGGTCCCCTCCTGAGCCACTCCTGGGCGCCTGTGGTCTCCTCCTGAGCCACACCCGGAAGCCCGTGGTCCCCTCCTGAGCCATGCCCGGGAGCCCGTGGTCCCCTCCTGAGCCACGCCCGGGAGCCCGTGGTCCCCTCCTGAGCCACGCCCGGGAGCCCGTGGTCCCCTCCTGAGCCACGCCCGGGAGCCCGTGGTCCCCTCCTGAGCCACGCCCGGGAGCCTGTGGTCCCCTCCTGAGCCATGCCCGTGGCGGCCAGCTCCGTGTGGGCTCCGTGTGCCGCCCCGCGTCACCGCGCCTTGGTGAAACAGCGGGTAGCGATTCCTGGGCGGCTGGGAGGCTGGAGGCTGGAGGCAGGTGGAGGGGCGGCAGCCCGGCAGGCAGTGGCCTCCCTCCCTCAGGGCGGCTGCGAGCCTGGGTGGAGCCACTGGAGTGTCCAGCCCTTCCCATGTGACTGCCCTGCTCCTGGGAAGTGAATGCTTGTTCCCAGGAGACACGTGTCGAGAGGGAAGCCTCTCTTGTGGCTCTCTGCCACCTGAGCCCTGGCAGTGAGGAGCCAGCTCCCCGAGCCCAGGTGCGGCCTTCCTGAGGGCCTGCCCGTGGGGAGGGGCCTGCTGTGGGAGGAGCCTGCCCGTGGGGAGGGCCGTGTGACTATCACCTGTCACCCATCACATCACCGCCCCTCCCAGTCTGCGTCCCCGCCCTGTCTCTCAGCTTGGCCTACAGCTCCGGTCCCTCGGGCTGGCCTGCTGCGGACAGTGGGTGACCGGGCTGGACGGCACTGAGCACTGTGGATGCTCCCCATCTCCCTCCTGGGCCGGCTGAGGCCGGCGAGCGCGGGTGTCCAAGAATCCGCCCATCTGCTTCCCACGTGGCCGCCGAGCTCGCTGGCCTGCAGCGTCTCTGGTCCACTTCAGACGGGGATCCTCGCAGGGTTGGAGTGCTTGGGCCTGTAGACACGTCCTGTTGTCGGCCGCGTGCTCGCCGTCAGCCTGCGCGTGTCTGAGTGCTGATGAAGTCGGATCTGTCAGTGTTCTGTGGACTCTCTTTCAGTGCCATTTCTAAGAAGCTTTTGCTTCATCCAAACTCAAACGTGCCCTGGCCGGTGTGGCTCAGTGGATGGAGCATCAGCACTCAGACTGAAGGGTCACGGGTTCGATTCCTGTCAAGGGCACATACCTGGGTTGCAGGCTCGATCCCCGGCCCTGGTCAGGGGCCTGGGGGAGGCAGCCAAGCGACATGTGTCTGTCTCCCCCTCCTTCCCCTCCTTCCCCTCCTTCCGCTCTAAGCAGCAGCAGGAAAGGTCCGGGGGAGCGAGGCCCAAACGCCGCCTCTGTTGCCTGCGGGGCATGTCCCCGAGCTGCCTGTTCCTCCGGGCGTCTTGTGTGACTCGCGGCTGGCGGGAGGTGTGGGCCGTGGACGGGTGCCCTCTGACGAAGCCTTCGGGGCTCCCGTCCTCATCAGCTCAGTCGGGGGGGGCGTCTCCCTCGCGGCCGGCCCTGCAGGCTGACGTGCACTGTGCCCCAGGCGCCGCCGAGGACAGCACGGCCAGCTTGTTTGGCGAGGAGGACGCCGAGGACGAGGAGCTGGAGGCCGCGGCCAGCCACCTGAACAAGGACTTCTACCGGGAGCTGCTGGGCGGCGGCGGTCCTGGCGGCACGGAGGCCGCGGGCAGCCCCAGCGGGAGCGGCCAGCCGCCCGCCCTGGAGTCCCTGCTCGGGCCCCTGCCCACCGCGGCCAGCCTGGGCATCTCGGACTCCATCCGGGAGTGCATCTCCTCGCAGAGCCAGGAGCCCAGTGAGTGCGGGTGGGCAGGCGGGGCTCTGGACTGGGGGTGTGGGTCGCCCCCTCAGGAGCCTGGGCTGTGAGCAGTCAGTGGTCCAGTGGGTGCTGACCCCCGAGTGCCAGCAGGGCACCACTGTCTCTGGGGCCCTTATCGGCTGGCCTGTGGCTCCGGTCCTGGCCAGAGCCCTCTGGTGATGTGGCCACAGCTCCTCTGCCCGTGTGACCCAGAGGCCCCGTGCACGGGCGTCCTGCGGGCGGCTCTGGTGCTGTCAGGTCACTTCCGACGGCAGGTCCTGCCCCTCTGCTGGGACCAGGCCAGTGGAGTCCGACCCCGGCGCTGCTCAGCGAAGCTGCTGGGCTGCCTGAGGCTCACACGGGCGTGGCAGGCTGGCAGGCTGGCCGGCCCGACGGCAGCAGTGGCCTGGGAGGGGCGGTGGCATGACAGTTGTCAGGTCATCCCACAAAAGGGTTCTGTGTGCGTGTCCCGCAGGCACGGGGCAGGGGGCAGAGAGGCCCTGAGGCAGCGGGGACACTGGAGCAGAGAGAGGCCATTCTGGCTGGTGCTGAGGACGAGGGGCGCCTTGGGGTACCCAGGGGTCGCGGGGCCTCTGTGGGCTGACAGCAGGGGACTCAGCAGAGACACGGGTGACAGGGCAGCAGGCTGGAGGGCACTCTCGCTCTGAGCCACACAGATGGTGCTGGGGGCCCAGCTGGGCAGAAGGGCTGGCGGGTTGGGGATGTCCTGAGAACTGCCAGGCTCCCGGAGAACTGGTTGTGCCCTCTCCTGACTGGGAGGCTGCTTGCCCAGGAAGCCAGGATGGGGGGGGGGCAGCCCGTGGGGAACAGATCCTGCTCCCTCTGCGTCAGGGTCGTAGCTCCCCTCCCTGTGCACGTGCACGCACACGCACACGCACACCCACAGGCAGGAGCAGTGCCGGCCCCCCTGGTGGTGAGGAAGCAGAGTCCGGGAGGCCGGGTGGGGTGGGGTGGGGTGTGAGTCACTGCCCACTGTACTTCCCTAGAAGACGCTTCTGGGGACGGCGAGCTGGACCTCAGCGGCATCGACGACCTGGAGATCGACAGGGTGAGTGGTCCTGAGGGCGCAGCGCTGACCTGCCCTCCCTGCGGTGCCCCTGGCCTGGGAGCTGCCCAGAGGGCTGGGCCGTGGGAAGGGGCCCTGCACCCTCCTGGGGGGCCCGCCACGGTGCGCCCGCCCTCAGGTCACGCTTGCTCCCCAGTACATCCTGAACGAGGCCGAAGCCCGCGTGAAGGCTGAGCTGTGGATGCGGGAGAACGCCGAGTACCTGCGGGAGCAGAGGGGTGAGTGCCGCCGCCTGCCCGCCCGCCCGCCCCGCGCCCGGGAGGCGCCCGCTGACGCTGCGTTGCCTTTCAGAGAAGGAGGCCCGCATCGCCAAGGAGAAGGAGCTGGGCATCTACAAGGAGCAGAAGGTGGGCGCTCCAGAGCCGCTGCCCGGCGGTGGGCTGGGTGGAAGGGGAGCCCCCGGCAGGCTGGCGGCCTCGGGGGGCCTGCCCCGCTGCCCCCGCCCATCCTGTGGTCAGCACCGTGGCTGGTGGCTCCTCGGGGGTAGGCGGTGCGTCTGCTGGAGCTGTGGGGGGCGTGGTCAGGCCGTCTCTGGCCTGTGAGCCTACGGGCGGCAGGCGGGGTCTGGGAGCGGAAAGGCTGTGCTCGCAAACCTGGACCCGAGCGGGGAGGCGGGAGAGGGTCGGGGGGACCTGGCAGCTGGCCTGCGTCCTGGCCCCGTGGGGCTGCTCAGGAGGCGGGTGGCTGGGGCAGTGCCCGCTCCCCGGGGAGGTGCAGGGCGGGGCTCAGGCCCCTTCTCCGTCCCGGAGGAGGAGGCGGGCGCCGCCCGCGGGTGCTGAGCCCCTTCCTTCCCGGAGCCCCGGGCAGCCCGGGGCCGGGTGACGCGTGCGCCTCCTCAGCCCAAGAAGCCCTGCAAGCGCAAGGAGCCGATCACGGCGAGCACGGCCGGCGAGGCCATCGAGAGGATGCTGGAGCAGAAGCGCATCTCCAGCAAGATCAACTACAGCGTGCTGCGCGGCCTGGACAGCAAGGCCGGGGCAGCGCGGCCGGACGCCGGGCCCGAGGACAGGGCCGCGGCCCGCAGGCTGCCGCGGAGGAGGAAGCCGGCCGGCCGGAGCGGGGCCGGCCCCGCGGCCAGCGTGGGCAAAAGGTGCTGGGCCGGGGCTGGGCCCACGCGGGTGCAGCTGGGTCCTCGGGGTCCCTCCAGCTCCCTCAGCTGCGCCCGCCCCGCCGCCTCCTGCGGCCAGGAGGGGTGGGGTTCCTGGGCCCGGAGGGGCGCCGCCCGAGGGGAGCGCTGAGCTCACATGTGTCCCCCTCGGCCCTGCAGGTGACTGTGCCCTGGCTCTGTCTGGGGGGTGTGGGGGAGGGAAAGCAGGCCTGGGAGGGGTGCTGTGAGCACCAGTTGGGTGTCCCTGCTGTGGGCCTGGAGGGTGCCCTCCCTGACCGGTGGGGGGGCAGTGGGGAGACGGGGGGGGGGGGGGAGTGAGTGGGGGGAAGAAGCCAGAGATGTTTGCTGGGAGCAGAGGGGCAGACTTGGGCCTGAGAGTGCCCCTCCTGCTCTCATCCTGTACCCTCTCCCTCCCGTGCCCCCCTCACCCCCTCCCGTACTTGCTTTCAGGTTGAGGCCAATGGTGTCCGCCCAGGCAGCTAAGAAGGCAGCTGTGGGAGAGGTGTGTGTGGACAGCGTGGGCGGGGCCTCGGGGAGCACAGCCCAGCGGAGGGAGGAGCTGGGACAGGACAGGCCCGGCCGGCTGTTGGCGGAGGCAGGGGTGGGGGGGCAGAGGGGATCCTGAGGCCCCAGGCGCGGGAGGAGTGTCTGGGAGGGCCTGGTCCCGAGAGTGGAGTCCTCCTGGTGCCCTGCAGCGCTGGCCAGCCTGCAGCCATGTCTCCTGGGCCGTTGGAGAGCCTCTGGGCAGCGAGGCCCCAGTCCCGGCGCCTCTGAGGGGAGCCTGGTGTGGGCACACCCCCTTCCCCCCGACCTCCGTGGGGCTCAGGGTCTTCGCTCCTGATTGTCTGGAACCGGAACAGAGAGCAGAAGGGGCCCCAGGGGTCCCCGAGCAGCTGCAGGTGCAGCTCAGAGGGGCCGGTCAGGGTCCCGGGGGGCGGCCTGAGCCTGTCCACAGCTGCCCCCTCTCACAGACCCCGCCCCCCAACGCCCCCGCCCGTGGCTGTGCCCCGGGGAGGCCCGCGGACGTGCTGGTGGAGAGCGGGCCCGTGGCCTACCACCCCGAGGAGGACGCCGAGGAGGAGGACCCCGACGCCGAGGAGGACGGGGAGCCCTGCGTCAGCGCCCTGCAGATGATGGGCGGCAGCGGTGAGCGCGGGCTTCCGGGGAGGGCGTCTGGTCAGAGCCGACTGGGTGCTGAGGCCTGGGTGTGCGAGGGGACTGGCCAAGTCTGCCCCTGGGAGACGAGGCCTGGGTGCCGGGAGTGAGCCCACAGACATAGGGGTCCACCACCTCCCAGCGCCTCACATGGGCCCTTCACCTGAAGCCATCGGCCCCAGGCCCCAGCTCCCAGCAGCACTATTCTGCGGTGGGGCCTGCGGGGCCAAGGCCACGGGTGCTGGAGCCTCGGGCCGGGGCGGGGGCCGGGGCCCACCTGCAGCTGCTCAGCGGCGCCATCTGACTCTGCAGATTACGGCTGTGACGGTGACGACGATGACGGCGACGGCTACTGAGTGTGACGCACGGCCGCGCGCGCGGTGACCCTGGCTCCTGAGGGCCAGGCCGGACTCGGGCCCCACGCCCAGGTGTGAGCGTGGCCTCGCCTGCCCCGCAGCCTCATCGTGGCCACGAGGGACGTCCTGCCGGCATTGTGCTGGCGCCATGTTTTGAGCAATGCACGGCGTGTGCCTTGCAGAGAGGCCTGGAGGCCTGGAGGCTCGTCCGAGTGCGTGGAGGCTGGGTGTGCTCCAGGACACGGCTGCTCGCCATGCTCGTGGGCTGAGAAGCGCTGTGCTAGCCCTCTGCTCCAGCTGAGGTCTTCGGCTCCCTCGCGCGCCCGGCCCTGCCACCCGGAGCTACACCCCGAGCCCAGGCGCCTGAGCCAGGAGAGGTGGGCGCTCACATCTGAGCCGGCATCTGGCCCAGCGTCCAGAGGGAGGGAAGGCGGGCAGGCAGGCCGCCGAGCCTGGCCCTGCTATAGAGTGCTCCCCGGCCCTGAACGGCCCAGGGGCCAGGCCGGGCCATGGGAGGCCCGGAAGGCCAGGCCGGCCTCCCTGCTCCCCGGAGCGGTGGCCGCAGTGGCAGACAGTGCACTGCCCTCTTGCCGGCACCCTATCTCCTGTCTGGGGTGCAACAAAGGCTGCAAGCTGGGACTGGAGGCCCGTGTCTGCGGTCGGGGGGCTGGAAGGGAGTTCTGGGCGCGCAGGGCAGGCGTGCGCCGAAGCAGAAGTCGAGGTGAGGGGCCTGGTGAGAGCCGCTGCCCGAGGGGAGGGGAGGAGCACTCAGCAGCAGGTCCCGGAGTGGGGCCCCGCCCCCCAGGACACGGTGCTGACAAGTGCTGCGGGAGCCCCTGCTTTGGTGGTGGCTGACCCCTTGGTCATGGTAATGGGGCAGGGCCCCAGCGAGCAGCCGGCGGCTGGCAGGGTGGCAGCAGGCTGTGGACAGCCCCCCATGCAGGCCACTGCTACCACACGTGTGGGCCTGAGGGACACCTGCAGACTGCGTGCTCCTCCGTCTACATCTGCATGCCACCCTCTGACCCCAGGTGACCTCCACCAGGCTGGGGCGGGGGGGAGGCCCAGCACTCACATGCCGTCTGCACCTCTGCCCACGGCCAGGTCCCCCTGCTGCTGCCCGAGTGGCGTGGGGCACCCCTCCAGCAGTGGCTCTGAGCATCCTGGGGGCTGCATAGGACACCCCATCTCAGCGCTGCTGAGTGGGCTGCAGGTGGGCATTGCCAGGGCTAGGAGCGGGACAGCAGGATGAGGCCTGGGGCCTGCCTGACCCTTGCTGAGCAGAGGCCTGCTCTAACATTTCAGGGTCAAGGTCAGAGCAAGCGCTGGAGGTGACTTGGGCTCCACTTGGCTACTGGCAGGTCTCCAGTGAGGCCAGAGGACTGGGGCTTGAGTGACAGCCCAAGGTCACCAGCTGGGCCCACACTCCTGACTGTCCCCAGTCCCACAGGCCGCCGGGCCGATGGCCACCAGGCTGATGGCCGCCTGATGCTACCAAGACTCCAGAGGCCTCTGAGAGGCAAAAGCCCACCGATGGCTCTGCCTCTGGAGTCCTGCCCGGCCTGTCACCCCCACCCCCACCCGCTGTCCAGCCTCCCCAAGACCAGCTGCCCCTCCCCGAGGCCACCAGCAGGCTGCACCTCTGGCCCTCGGGCTCCCTGGTGCTCTAGGGGGGCTGAGCGGGGCTGGGGCACGCCTGACGGGTGCTACGCGGAGGGGGCCACAGGTCTGGGCTGGCGGCTGGCTCTGCTGCTGAGGGCCGTGGGCCCTGGGAGGGGTGTGGAGCGCTCCCTAACCCCCACCCCGAGGCTGAGGTGGAGGGGCCTCCCAGCGGCGGCTGCAGCGGACAGGGCTCCAGGGTCCCCGCGGGTCCACTCAGGAACTCACTCTGCTCGGATCCACCCGCTGAGGGACCAGCTCCCAGGGTCCGCGCCCACAGGTCCTCCTCGGCGGCTGACCCAGGACATCCTCACGCCGCTCCGCCCCTGGTGGCACCTCAGCACAGCCTGGAGGCAGGAGGGGCACTGACCCTCTGCCCAGGCTGGTCCCCCCTGACTTTCTGTCCCCAAGCCCCAACCCCGGTGCCCTGTACCCAACGACACCCCGTTCCCCGAGTAATAAAAGCCACAACCTGCCAGACCAGGGTCATGTGCGCGTCCTCCCGGTCCCCGATCTGCTCAGGCCTGGGCCTCTGACCTGCGGTGCCCTCGTGGGCCTGCTTGGCCCTCAGGCCGCCCTGCCCGGGACCTCACCACGCGGCCTGTCTCTGCCTGCCGGGGGCCATCGCAGGACACAGCCATCTTGCATGTGTGCCCGGCCCCTGGGGGCACTGAGGGTCCGCTTCGTTCCCACGGGCAGTGCCCAGCCTGGCGCTGTGTGGGGCGTGCCTGCCCATGGCCGCCAGCTTCCGGGACCAGTGAGCACCTACGTGCCTGGAGGGCTGGCCGGTCCCTGGGGAGGCTTGGGCCCCTGCCAGGCTGGCAAGGCGTGGGGGCTGAGGGCTCTGGGGCGTCACGCCTCGGGCTCGGACGCCCAGCCCTTCAGAGGGCAGAGCAGGCTCATGGCTTTCCTGCTGGGAGCGGCTGCTCAGGAAGCCGCCGGACACAATGGGCCCTCAGGGACCTGGGAGGGCAGGGCCCACACGGTGGGACTGGCCCTGACCATGGCCCCTCACAACCTTGACCTTAACCCAGCACTGACACTGCTCTCAGCGCCCTCTCCTGGCCACCCCCAGCTGACTGGCCAGTGGCGGGCACTGCTGTGGTCTGAGGAAGGGGCGTGGGGAGGGGTGCCCTGAAGCCCGGGCAGGCCTGTGGGCAGGGTGGGTCCGTGCCCATGGCTCCTCGGCCAGAGGGGGAGCAGGAGCCCCAGCCTGTGGCCGGAGGCAGCACCGGCCCCAGCGTGTCCTGGCCCTGAGGCTTGGCTTCCCATTCAAGGCCGGTGAATTGGCATTGTCTGCGGTGCCCGCCTCAGTGGGGCCTGGGAAACGGCTTCCTGGAAGGTCAAGGGGCGGTGGCCACCATGGCCCTGCCCCAGGGCGCCCCTGGGGCAGGAGGCTGGGGGTCAGCAGGGCCAGGGGTAGACAGGGACCCGGGGTCAGGGCAGGCCCAGCTGCAGGTGGCCACGGGCCCAGAGGCTGGGCAGGATGGGCACCTATGCACCAGCCTCTGCCAGCGGGCATGCACACCTACACACTCCCCTGCACTCAGGCCCCTCCCATCAAAGCCCTTCCCGAACGTCCCCTCCAGCCCACCGGGGCGCCCAGGTGACTCACCCTAGGTGCCTGCAGGGGGTGGGGGAGCGCAGGCGGCCGGCAGGACCCACAGGCTGTGGGCTGGTGCAGTGCTCTGCAGCAGCGGGGGAGTGGATGAGAGGGCACAGCCTGCAAACTCAGGGCTGGCATCCTGCCGTGCACCGAGGCCCCTCTTGCCCACGGGCTGGAGGCCCCAGCCTGGCCCTGGCCCCGGCCCCAGCTGCGTCTCGATGCCCAGGGCACAGCCTGAGGAGGCCTGCACGCCCGCCACCAGGCTCTGCAGGTCGGAGGCACTCGGTCCCGGCCAGCAGGTGGTGCTGCAGGACGGCCCGGTGGGCCTGAGGGGAGGGGAGCCTCCTGCAGGCTGGGGGGGGTGGGGGGTGGTGGTCAGTGCTGTGAGGAGCCCCCTCCAGGAACGGGGTGGCACTTCTTTGGAACGGAGCCCCCTGACAGCTGGTTCCTTACATCGGCCCGGTGGCCCCTAAGGGACGGCCCTGCGTGATCAGACCGAGACGAGCCTCCGGGCCTCAGCCCGTCCAGTTCAGCTCTGTGCTCGCCCGGTGCCCCGTGCCTGGGCCAGGGTGCTGTGGGAGGGGAGGGGAGAGGGGGTTCCCACTGAGGGTCCCTAGTGGTCAGACTCGTTCAGGGGATGGGACATCCCTCTGGTGGGAGGGGGCAGCCCACACGGAGCAGAGGCGAGCGGGGCAGGGGAGGGTGGAGGAGGGCGAGGGCCTCAGGGCGGGAAGGGCAGGCCCCCGGGGCTGGGTGTCCTGGTGGTCTCTGGGTGGGAGCAGGTGTGTGGCAGAGGCAGACCTGTGCTCGGCTCCGGTGGGCCCTGGCCCTGGCTCCACCTGCAGGGCCTCAGCTCGGCTGTCGGCTGGGGGGCTGGGGTGCAGGAGGGCAGGGCCAGGGCTCCGGGGAAAGGCTCAGTGCTGTGCAGGCGGGCGGGAGGGTCAGGTGGGCAGATGTTGGTCAGGATGTCCCCAGGGCGGGCTCTTGGGGAGTCACCGTGAACTTGGGGCCCCAGAGTCAGAAGCCACTGGCCCCCCCACTGCCTGCAGCCTGAGGGCAGGCTCCGTGCTGGGCAGGGCTGGGGGGCTGTGTCTGACTGCAGGCTCGGTGTCCACAGCCTGCTGCCCCAGGCAGGACACAGTGTGCCCTCTGCCAGGCTGGCCACCTCAGCCCCTGCACCAGGGCCAGCTGAGGGCAGCCAGGGTCAGGGTGATGCCAATCGGTGCTGGTGGGGGCACACCCTCCAGCCCCCCGTGGTCCACCTGCCCCCCCACAAACACCTGCTTCTCCCCGACTCCCGTTTATGCATGGGGTCCTCCCTCCTCGCCTGAGAACCCAACACAGTGCCACCTCCTCCGAGAAGCCTTCCTTCCCAGTAACGCCCCACAGCTGTCAGCCCTCTCCTGGCCCTGCAGCCTGAGTGTCCCCCCGGCCTGCTGCCCCCCACCTCCAATTATCACCAGGCCAGGGGCTTGTTGAGGGCACAGTCTGCTGGCTGGTGCCAGTGGTCCCAGCACCCGGGGCTGGACTGTCGGGCCGGGGTGCTGGGCCTGAGCTCCTGAGTCCTCCCCACTCCCTGCCCTGCCCGGGCTGGCCAGGACCGGAAGAGACCTGAGCCACCTCACCCGCCCAGGAAGGAAGCCTGCCTCAGCCTCCCCGAACCTGCAGGCCCTGCCCCTCTCAGCACCCCTCTTCCCGTAGCTTTCTAGCCCAGGGGAGGCGGGTGCTGGGACCC